GATTCTTATATTTACCGTGCTCAAATCTTTGATATCACACCAAAATTATCATTATCATTAACTTTTAAAATGTAAAATAAAAATCAAATTTATGTGTTGGAGAAACAAATACACACGAAAAGGTGTTGGTATGTACGTAAACCTTCCAACATAAATTCATGATTAATGTTCTTTACTTTGCAATTTGGAGGCATAGCAACATTTCACATGGCACCATTCAAACATAGTTAGAAAAAAAATAAGCCAAGGCTCATGGGCGACTCTTGCCTTAAAGTTTCCTATACATAATAGAAAGATAATTAATAAATGATAGGGCTCACCAAAAGAAAGATGAACTGCACTGGGTTTAGATCAAATTCGAGTTAATTTTGAGTCAAGTTCGTGTTAAGTTCAGATCAATTTTGGGTTGTTAGGTCAAATTCTGGTTGTCGGGTCAAATTTGGGTTGGGAGATGGACTTGAACCAAGCCTGAAAATTAAATGTTGGAAATCTTGACCTAACGATTTAGTTGGCTCAATTTAACATAAATTTTTCGAGTTGGATTTGAGTTGATTGAGCGTATTAGGGGCTTTCTATAAAAGTAGATGTCTAGATAATTATTATGGGCATTTACATGCAAACCCACGAATTCTGATTATGTTACACCTATACGTTCTTTTACATGTTTGCCGCTTAAATTTTTCATATCATATCAAAAAATATCGGTATTTTCATTTTCAAAAAGGTATGATAATGTGAAAAATTAAAATTTAGTTGTTAGATATATAAATACACAAGATTTGAGTGCTAGATATGTGAGCGCATAAGAATGGTGTGGTATGTATGTGAATGCCCCAAAAATTTAAGATCACTACTCTATAAATATATAATAAAAAGGGATAATTACATACAATGCACAAGAAACATTACTATTTATAAATCAAGCATCCAAGCGATTTTTTGGACTGTCAGACGGATACATTTACTCGTGTCATGATCAAATCATTGTGAATTTGATAAAAAAAGAAAAATATGAGTTGGGGTTATATTATGAAGTTTGATATTTGAGTGAGAATTTGAAAAATGGATAAAAGAGGGTGTTTGATTTGTAAATATTATATTTCCTTTCGTTACCTTACATTTATTATAATAGAAGTCGCAAAACACAAATATCAAAATTCTTGAATCTTTTAGAGACGCAGTGTCTCGTATTATTTGTAAGTTCATATAACCCGATAAAAACTTTGTGTCGTAGAGAAAGAATCTGAGAGATGGATGAGAGTTTTGAGAGAGAACATTAAAGAATGTATTATATTCTTATATCTAATAAGCTTAGATAATGTAGCTCATTAGAGATTCTCTGAGTTACAAGATTTCAGAGGGAGAGAGAAAGAGGGGGAGAGATGTGGAACCCCTAAAATAATAGATGAAGTATTTCTATTATACACAAGAAAGAAAGAGTGAGTGTCAGTTGTTGCTATTACGATGCCCATCCATGGTGCCTGAGTGAAAAAATCGAGTCCCAAGAATCATGCAGCATCTTTAATAATAGATTAACAAATGTCATTACTAATAGTGATGACTCTCTCCGATAACAACCATCACACGTGGGTTAGGTTGTCCCTTAAAGGGGAACAAAAATAATCACATTGGCCAGGTGCGCTCATCTCAGCCACTTCGACAGGTTTTGTTCTATTCAATCACTTTGACAAGTGGGCTCGATTTAATAAACAAAAAATTTTGCATACTCATACTTGTGTTATTACGGAAATAATTTATCTAGTAATATCTCAAAGTTGGGTGTCACAATCATATGATTAATCTTTAAAACTATATTCATAAACATAATTTATTTAATAAAATCTAATGTGAAGATGCTTATTCATGTTAATGTATGCATATAGATTGGCCAATAGATAGTAAATGTCACCTATTAATCATTTTAAAAAGCATCCTCATCAATGTGATAGGGAAGGATGATGTAAACCAAAGTAGAATATGTGCAAGAATTCAATGAGGAAATAAATAACTATGAAAATGCTTCCATATATAACTATTTTGAATGCCATGCGATGATTTATTGTCATATCTAAAATCAGATCAATTTGTAAAATTAAATAAATATAATTTGAATGTAATTTTAGCATGATGAAAGCCTTTGCAAACTCATCATTTATAATAGAAGTGGTAAGAATTTATTTGTCAAATCAACACGTGAATGCTTGAGCTTAGAAATTGAACCATCCTCATAACCCTACCAAAATCACTTGGATGAAACTTCAATTTTCACAAATTAATGTCCCTCTACTAAACTTGTTAAATGCATACTTCCTCTCTTACTTATAGGGAGGATTAGGGCTGATTTTTATGTGGAATTGTAAACCTATTTTGGTTGTCATTTTTTCTCTCTCTCCACGCATTGATAGTGACATCCTTTATCCATAAATTTAGTCAGATTTGCGCCGAACCATGCAAATTGCGCCGTGTGATTGTTTGTTTGTTATGTGGTTTTATTTTGCATATTGTTTTGTACAACAATTAGTATTAGAATTGGATTGGAATAATTCTGAGAACAGATAGCTGCAATTCCCACGAAGTCACATACAAAAGACAAGTTAAGCTACCAAATCTAGTGGATTATGGATTAATAGCATGTCATAAATTTAAACATCCACCATGGCGGTGGAAACAACATCGATTCATCTGTTGGTTACACATTCTGTCCATATTCCTTGAGGAACGTTTGTAAACAACCATCTTGGTACAATCATTTTGGTATTTTAGCTTATTTTGAACATCACCCACTTATCTGGAAGTGAAACTTGAAAAATGAGATGAAGATTGTTATGTTTGAGCTTATTTGAAAAAGAGGGTAAATGTACGATTTTCTATTTTTTTTAGTATGTCCTAATCTTATCTCATTTATCAGATGGATTAAGGTTGATTTTTTTGTGGACTTTTAACTCTAGTTCAAACTGTCTTTTTTCTCTCTTTACATGCTGATAATAGAGTAACCTCTCCCCATAGACATGGCTGAATTTACATCAAACCATGTAAATCACGTCATGTTTGATTTTTTATTTGTTGTGATTTGGAATTCCAAATTATTTCGCACAATGATCTATCATAATTTACTAACATATTATTTTAATTTAATCTTACTCATACAATTTAATTTAGCATCATTTAAGTACATATCACTTTAAGACCTACCCATTTACACATCTAACATCCATACTTTTTACATTTACGCCGCAAATATCTTCCATATCATATCAAAATATCAATATTTTAATTTTTACAACTAAGGATATTAATGATATGATTTTGAGCCGAGCTCGAGTCGGCTCAAAATAAATTTGATCTAAAATTTTGATCCATAGCTTGACTCATTTATTTCGATCAGATCTCGATCTGAGCCAAAATTCTAATCAATTTTCGAGTGATTAACGATCTTCAAACTTGTTCAATTCACAACCCTAACAACACTAAGGTTGTTAACGATCTGTTTTCGAGCTGAGCTAGAGTTGGATCGAATCGTCTAGAAAAAAATTCAATCCAAAACTCTGGCTCATAACTCCGCTTGTTTATATCAATCCAAACAATCTGAGCTAAAATTTGAATCAATTTTCAAGCTCTGAAATAAATTTACAGCCCTGTTTACAACAGAAGTTGAGGAGTTAGATAGGTACATGCATATCAATTGAGCAATACGTATATAAATTTTCCTTTAAATTACTGATTTGATAGATGCCAATTTGAAAAAAGATGTGACTGAAAGTATATCACTCCGAGGATGTTAATCAACCATCCTCCAAAGTTAAACAACAATACCACCATGAACGCTTATACTTTTACTTTTTACATTTATACCACAAAAATCTTTCATAGGGCTTCATGTTTCAATAACCAGGGCTATTTCTTTAGGGGAATAGCATATAGAAGAAAACAAGAGCCTAACAATGATCCAATGTCTCATTTTTGAAGCTTTTGACCGCATTAAGTTTTCAAACTTCTCTAATTTATAGTCAAACTATTATAATTCCTATAGCAGACACATGGTCAATCATGGAACCTCCTCCTCAATTGATTTCTTCATGAAGATAACATGAAGAAAACTTCAAAACATTGAAATAGAACAACTTGGTTGAGCTATGCCAACCTAACAGAGAAGAGTTACTTAGCTGTAATTAAAGTCAAAATTAAAAAAAAAAATAAAAGTTCTCTTGGCAAACAAGCAACAGTTCCTTAAAAAGTCAAAGCAAAAAAGAATTGAAATAAGAATTTGAGCCTACATCCACAGTGCAAAATTAAAAGAAAATTACAAAAACCAGCACATGCAAACATGTAATAGACATGATGTCTTATTTTGTAATTAAAAATTAAAACATGATGAGAATCAACAAGGCATGTCAGTGCAACAATCAGTTTCTTCTTGACTAACTAAGAATAATGCAGAAGTGGTTGGATCTTGACAGTGACAGACGAGAAAATGCAGCAGAAAAACTTTATTCTAACAAGCATTCCAGAGCTCCAGCCACTGAAATGCTTTTGGACTTAAAAAAAACAAATGTAAATCAGTGTTGGTTACTGCTATGCATGTGCAGAATCCAAGTAGAATCACAAAAAAATAAAAGAAATATTTAGATACATATCATTCAATTCTTATGTATTTACATATCTTAACACCCCAAACTTCAATTTTTAAGGAAGATTTAGATACATACCATTCAATTCTTATGTATTTGCATATGTTCACACCCAAACTTCAATTTTTACATGCAACCTTATCTCGGCAGGAAATGGTATATTTCACCTTTTTAAAGTTAAAGGTAAAAAAACAAAGCTTAGATGTAGATATGTAAATACATAGGAATTGGGTGGTATGTATGAACATGCCCCAAAACAAAAAGAAGACAAGCACATGAACTCCAATCATCCCAACTTGAAACAATTCAATAAAGAAAATACCATAATATAATTCAAAAAGCAAACTTGTTGGCATATGTACAACTTAGAGATAATGGCAGGAATGTTATCTTCTAAATTTTAATTTTTTTAAAAAAAGAAAAAATAAACTACTTCCTTCACTTGTGATCACTAACAAGCTGAAAAGACCTAAAACATCATAGTTAAAATTTACATTTCGAAGATTGATTATGTACATCATTCATCTCATAGCTTTTGCATTGTGAAATTTTCCATTCATCGTCCGCGCATCTGATTCTGCACGGTTTTGATAGCTGCTACTCGAGCAGCGGTGGCTGATCTACGCGACATTGAGACTGCCTTGTTCACTTGTTCTTCGACACGGGGAAGGAGAATCGCTTTCTCAGAAGCTTCTCTGGCGGACTAATAGGGAATGAAAAGTTAGGCATCAAAAGCACAAAATTAAGGGACTGGATGATATTCTGAGCATCTGTATACCTGCACGGCTCGTCGAACATTGGTGTCGGCGGAGGGCAGAGGATTCTTCAGAGATCCACAGTTCCATTCTCCTGATCTGGCTTCACCTAATCTAAAAGTATAGGTTCCAAAGCCCTGTCTTCTTCCTTCATGCCATGAACCCTCATAGCATTGCCCATTTGCAAAATGGTAAACCCCAAAACCATGAATCTTGTCACCGAAGTACTCCCCCGCATATTTATCACCATTTCTAATTCAAGAAAAAAAAAGTTTTTGTTTATAATGAAAAACTAAGTTTCCCATGAGCATGATGAAGTAAAATAGTTAATCAATTCAACAAATAAAAAAGGAGTGTCAGCCATTAATAAAGATCATATTTTGAGAGTGTCATCAAGTTGACTGTGCGCCAACTTAAAATTGGTAAGAGTTTGTTTGGTTATTGGATAATCTTCAGAAAAAAAAAAACAGAGAAAATTATAAAGAGTTGAGAAAAAATTCAAACTTTTCAGGTAATTTATTATCCATATGTTAATCTATCGAGCACAGCAGTACATACATCATCAAATGAATCTAATATCAGTATTAAACCTATGTAATCCAACAAGACCTACCAACAAAAGCAATCAAACAGTAAGATTATCTAAACTAAAAATTACAGCAAAATCATACTTCATAACGCTGAAAAAATCACATAACTATAGCCAGAAACTAAACATCAATTAAACCAAAAAAACAAAAGAAAATTAACAAAAAGAAATAATGTCCAAAGAAACATAATCTAATAAATCAACTCACCAAACAAAATGCAAACTTGACAACAGCTAATCTTAGAAAAATCCTAAACATAAACAAATCATAATCAAACAATCGATTTTCATACCTAAAGTGGTAGAACCCTAATCCGTGCTTCACCCCGCATTTGAACTCCCCAACATAACAGCTACCATCAGAGCAGCTCTGCACACCTCTGCCATTGCTCTGCCCAGCCACCCACTCACCGGCATAGCTATCACCATTATAGAAGCGATAAAAACCAAACCCATGCCGCCCTCCATGGCTGTACTGGCCGCAGTACCGGCTCCCCTTCGCCCACCGTTCGATCCCATAGCCATCATACTCGCCATTAACCCAATCGCCCTCATACCTCCCAAGCCCAAAGAAATGGTAAACCCCATTTCCACTGCACTTTCCTCCGTGAAATTCTCCTTCATAGAAATCCCCGTTGCTGTAAAACACAATCCCTTCACTCACAGCGCTCTCCCCCTTTTTCGGACTCGAGTTCTCCACATCCCCCTCCTCGTCGCCGATGAACCATTTCACAGACTTGCGGCGGCGGAAGAGAGAAAGACGGGACCTTTTGAACGCCACGACGACGGCTGAAGAGGCGATGGAGAGAAACCAGAAGAAAGGGAACGGTTCTCGAAGGTAAATGAAGGAGAGTATGAGAATGAGTAAGAGGACAAGGTAGAGGATGACGAGGCAGTGGCCGGAGTAGCCCGGCAGACTTGAAGAGGTGGCGGAAGAGAGCGGTGATAAATGAGGCTTCGCCTCCTCTGGGTCGGTACTAATCTCTTCGAGGGCGGGAAGGCTATGAACCGAGCGAATGGTCTGGGAACGTAGAAGCAAGGAAGGAGTTCGTGTGAGCTTCGACTTCGAGTTCTGTACTTCCATTCCTCTTCTCTGTTCTCTGTGCTCCCGAGCTCTTTAATCAAAGCGAGTACAGTAGAGAGAGAGTAGCGAGCGCCAAACGGGAAAGCTTTCGCCTTTAGGCCTATGGGATTATGAGAGAATAGAGATAGAAGCGTTGGAACAGGGGCATTTTACATTGAGAGGCGGCGGCTGGCTCAATGCTGACCGTCGGATTTAAATCGAACGGGCAATACCTCCGCAAGTTTCTATTGAAACCGAGGTGAAACCATCGGACGGACAGAGGAAAAGTACAGAGTGATATTGGCCGTTCGATCTTTGTGTCCGTCGAAGAAAGAGTGCGGTCACGTGCAGAGTAGGTAAGTCGCTGAATTTTGGAACCCACATTGCACCCATCTTGTGCAGAAGGAATCAAAAGTGGTTCAAATTGGGCGTTTTTTGAGTGCGATTAACTGGCGACTTATTGATGTGATGGAAGAAGCATTTGATGATCAATTCAATGCATGGTTAAAATCTATTCGCCAATGAGACGTGTACGGTGATCCTTATGTACGGTAAAATATGCCATCATCCCGCTTTTCCGCGGATATTTAGATTTGAAATTCGTAGGTTATTTATACACGTATTGCATCTCATTAAATACCTTCATATATATATATAAATTTAAAAATTAAAGTTTATAATATTTAAAATTTAATTATAGTCTATAGATCCATGAACGAAAATTTATTATAAATTTTGTGCTGTAAAAAGTATTTCTCATTGAATACATAGGAGTGAGAGACAATCAATTTTTATGTAGGAAATTTTATAAAAATATATGGGTTATTTTGAATTAAAATATTAATTTTTGATAAAATTTATAATTTATTAATTATTTTAATTAAAAAAATCATATTTTAAATTAGAGCAATAATTAAAATCGTGTATTTCTTTTAAGAAAAAATTAAAATTTATTCTGTACTATCCTACTTCAGCAATCGATTTAAATCGGTAATTAAATTTATACTTCATTTTTTTTTAAATTTTAGTACTAGTTAAATTTAAGTTTAATTTAATCCTTCTAAAAAGTAGCTGATTACAAATATTTTAACTCCATTATTTATAATTATTTACAGCTAAATAAAATTATTTAGCTTTATAGCATATTTTAAAGATCCATGTTTTAAAGTCAACGATTCGGTTTATGTAATGATGAAGGAAATTGACTTTCTTATCCCCTAACACTTTAAAACTAATTTAAAATTCTAAAACTGATTTAAAATTTTAAACCTCATTTTGACCTTAATAATTTGTCAACATAAACTGATTTAATTTCCTTTCAATAAAACATATTTCGTTTTGCACTACAAAAATAAAATATTTCAATTTTTTTATGGAGAACTCTATGTCAAAATATTCTATTATTCAAATAATTAAGATATATATATATATATATATATATATTTGCTCTCATTACTTATCAAAATCTGATTTATTTGTAAATCACATTTCAAGAAATAGAATGTAAGAAAGAAGAGAGAGACACATGGATAAAAGAGCGAAAAATAATGAATAGTAATGCATTGTGTCTTATTCATAAAATAAACCTCAAATATATAAGAGAGAGATACAATATGATTATGTTATATTTTTGCACTGGTTTAATAAGACTTTTTAGGATATTTTTGTTATTTTACATAAATGAGTCTGTCAATTAAGGTTACCTTTTGGCTTGGTCGATTGAGCTTGTTTGACTTCCACTTTGTAAGGTTGGTTCAATAGTTTAGTCGAGCTAGCAATGCTAGTCTGCTAAGTTTGATTGGCTCCGGGTCGGCGGGATTGATTTGATTAGTTAGGCTTTGTTGATCGGTTGATCTAGTCCGCTTGTCGACCTTTAATGCCTTGATGAGGAGCTTCTTTTGGTGGTGGGAGACTAGACTATTAGACAAAGGATGACTCACTGTAATCTGATAAGTTACTCATTTCTCAACGAGGAGAGCCTGTGGCATGATCATAAAATTTTGTTGTACTTGTCAATTATTGATCCCTGAAAAGGAGCATTAGGGGTGTTTGTGGTTGTGTGATGACGAGTGATATTGAGGAACTCTGTCTTTTCTCGGGTCACATATACTGGAAGGTATGTTATTGTATTGGACTGGTTTTCTTGTAGTGATTAGCACGCATGTTTATATATCTTATTTTAGTTTGATTGACCTGTATTCAGATCAATCAGTCGTCCTTTAGCCCCTCTCTTAGCTTGACCGACCTTCACTTTGGCCAATCACATATGAAAGAAATGGTGATATTAAATTTAATGATAGGTTTATTTTTCATTTGATGTCAAACATTTAAGTGTAATATATATAAAAAATATGAAGTTTTAGGTGTACATTTGTAAGAATATAATAATTATGTGACATGAATGTAATTTTGATGAAAATAAAATATTAATTTGTAGTTCTTGGAAGCAAATTTTCCGAGCAAGAATAAATTATGTACATTTAACTTCATTTTACTTAGTATTAAATGATTGCTGTTATGGGATAGTCATGCTATCAGTCATCGTGCATAATGATTTAGTTTGGTAAAGTTGATGTGATGGTGCATTATATGCAATCATTCATGTTGAATGCCGTTTATTTGGGACTCTCGCCCACAATCATCCATAATATGTTCATGAAAAAAGTCATCTGAAATAAAGAACAAGTCAACCTAAAAATAATAGCCGAAAGTGCGCTGCAAAGTGAACATAATTAATTATTTATTTATCATTATTTATAGAAGTAGAGATTTAATCATAATAATATTAAAAATTAATGATTAGTGTACTATAAATTTGAATCACTTAGGGTATGTTTGAGGCAGCTTGTGCATTTTAGGATAAACATCTAATTTTGAAACACAGCCCGCGGGTCGACCTGCGGCTAGGGCTGTCAAAACGGCTTGTTGTTCACGAACAGCTCGTGTTTGGCTTGTTAAAAAGCTCGTGTTCGCTCGATAAGTTAACGAGTCGAACACAAACTAAGATGTGTTCGTTCGTGTTCGGCTTGTTTTGGCTCGAAATGCTACTCATCAAGTTTATATATATATATATATTAAGAAGTATTTTTAAAAAATCTAATTGACTACAAGGCTACAAAGATTTATAATCAATTAAAATATTGATTAAGAAAATAGAATAAAAATTATTAAATTAGATTCAAATGACGTTTTAATATAAATAATAATTTTTAAATCTTGCTCAAACCCTTATTGTCTTATGACTATATGATTATGGTTGTTAAAAGGACTCTTTGTCCGTCAACAACTCGTGTTAGGCTCGTTAAGCAAACGAGCCGAACACGAACACACTTTTTGAGCTCGAAATATAAATGAGCCGAACACGACTTGTTTACACCCCTACCCGTGGCCTGCTTTTAGTGTAAAAAACTCAAACGCGGCAGCAACATTTTTAAAAACGCACAAACCAAATGACTAGACGGTGTTTTAAAAAACAGCGCCGCGCTTATAAGCTGCCCCAAACGGGCCCTTAGTCTTCTCCACAAGCCTTAAAGTTTATATAAATCATTTCTATATATGTTGTGATGAAAATCATTTGTCATAATATAATTATAATGTTTTAGCATCTGAATCTTAAATTAAAAGTGGGAGAAAAGAAATATCAACCAACATAAAATAATCTATGGAGAAAACATGAACAATACAACTACTTGCTAGTACATTTGACTTAATATGCATTACTAAAAAGAAACATTTTTGACAATGCTTAAATTGAGCTACGACAACAATTTTAATCTCATATAGTAAGCTAACAATAATTTAAAAATTATAATAGTTCCAGTATGATTGTGTTCAACACAATCTCTTTTCATCATGGTAGTTCAAATCACTGTATTGATAATAGTTTAAACACCCGTAATGCTGGAACTACTGGAGGGGTGTAAAACTCCACAACATGTCTGACAGGCTTGGGTTGATGTGCGGATGTGATCGGAGAGCGCACGCAGTAAGCGCTCGTAAAACTCCATAACATGTCTTACTATTTTTCTAAAAGAAATTGTTTGTGCGGCTAACTAACGAACAATGAAAGTCATTTATAAGCTTTACAATTTTACTTGCAGCTTCTCAATAAAATTGTATGGAAGCGTTCAGATCTCAAAATTTAATTTGTTCATCTCGATCATTCCAATATTTAAAAATAAAATGAAAAATATTTTGTTAAACAAAGAGAGGGAGTACAAAAGAGTTTGTAATTGCTTTAACTATTTTGAGCAACCAAAAAAGTAAACACAATTACAAGATCTAAACAAATTGTTAAGACTATTACATGACAATTACAATAACTTAAAATGACCCATAAGATAATAATTATGGTGAGACCTACAAACTTCTGATGAGGAAATAAACACAAATTATTTTTTAAGTAATTTATCCTATAAACCAAAGAAAGAATAAAGATCTATAATATTGTATATTTTATCGGCCAGTCTTCATCTTGGTCTTGAACAAAAGTGTTGAGTTCAAATGTGAAGACTAAGTATCTTGTGTGGACGTCGTTGATAGTTATCCTCCATGCTCCTACCAACTTAGTAATTTCTTATCCTATAAATTTACAATGTGCTCCAGTTGCATCCCACAAATTGATAGGAGGGACATAGAAGCAAAAAAAAAAAAAAAAAAAAAAAAAAAAAAAAATAAATAAAGTATTTGATAAAATTAGGAGATATTAGACATAGTTAACATACAAATAGAGGAAGACAACTTAGTTTTGATTGTACAGAAAAAATCCAAATCCAACAATCTAATAAAGAGTAGCAGCTATGAAAACTTGAAAAGTCTATATGCTTATGTGAAACTTTAACTCAAAAAATTCAAGGTTCTAATCTTCATTTTTGGAGCTTGAATATGATATTTATTCATAAGACTCAAAGTTTCATCCCAATTCCTAAAATATTGTAAGTACAAGTCAATTGCTAGCATTATACTAAGGAAAGAGAAATGTTGAGGGAGAAGAACACATAAAAAGTTTGCATAAATTTTTGCCTCTCTTCCATTTTTATCTTCATTTATTGCGTAAGTTCATATATTTTTTTATGTAGGAATGCCCCTAAAGTTGAATACAAAAGGAGCCAGTGAATTTCACTAAAGCGTCTAAGTGCCATGATCCCTACATGATTTTTTCAAAAGCTCAAAACATCAAAGCCATCCATTAGTGATTAAGTGTCCGAATTCAGTACCTCAGCAGCATATGTCATAGCACCGCAACACCATTAAAGAAATGAGTAGAAAAATTTTAGAGAGCACAGTGCTTCAACAATGAATGCTCTGAGCCTTGGAAGGATTTGTATAGCACCTAAGCGTTATCCTCTAGAGCTTTGCAGTGCCATCAATAGCAGAATAAAATATTAGAAGTTTGAGAGTTCGGAGCCTCAACACCATATCTTGAGTGTCACAATGCCATAATCGTAAAGCTGCGATGTGACAACCTTAACAAGAACAATTATCAAAGTTGAAGTTTGGATTCCTTAAGACTTAATTAGGAAATCATAAGGAGTGTAAAGATGTCCAAGTGTTTGTGTAGTGAGTGTAGTGCATGCATTGAGGGTTGAGGAATAGAGAAGAGAATTAACGAGCTTCTCTAAAAACAGAGTTTCTGTGGTGCAAAGGATCTTGTGTGAAGCATAGCCTTGGTCTTCTTCTTTTTCCTTTTCTCTTATGTACTTTGTTATAAGTTAAAAGAATTTGCATAGTTTGTAATGGCTTGCAACTAAGTTTTCATTCCTTTGGATTAGTATTTGAATTAAAATTTTAAGTTAATCCAAATAGTATTCTGATTTTCTTGAGATTCAATTATATTTCATTAACTATTAAATTGGCCATTTGACTGTTAAAATTTAACATAATTTAGAAATTATGAATAAATGCTTGTGAAATGATTAAATTAACTCACAATCCCATGGTAGAATAAACAAATTGCTAATTAGGAAGTGTACTCTTTTGAGGGTTGTGGAGAGTTTGGGGTTTTTGCATGATTTATTCTACTTAACTACGATAAGAAACTGGCGTACTTTTTAACAACTCAGAAGAGACCAATAAGTTCCTTACACTTGATTGTCAATAATATTTTTGAACTATTGGATAATTCGAAGCTTTAGGTATCAATCAAGAGGAAATTTTTTATGCAGATTTTTAAAAACCTTTAAAAAGCATAATCTTTTTTTATTAATTACTTTAATTTTATGAAATTTAAGCATAAGTATTGGATAAAGCATTTGACTTGTTAAGTGCACATTTGGTATAATTTAAGAGTTAACATAGTTCCTTACAGGATCGATAACTCGAACCCTATTCATATACTACTCTATCAAAATGTACACTTATGCAAACAATTGTGTGTTTGTATCGCAAACCACACATCTAGTTGGAATTAGGGATGTCAGAATGATTTGTTGTTTCCAAACAGTTTGTGTTCGACTCGTTAAAAAGCTCATGTTTGATTCGTTCGCTAAGCAAATGAGCCGAACATGAATAAGGACTTGATTATTTATGTTCGGCTCGTTTTAGCTCAAAATAATTAAAAATACTACTTATCAATTTATATATATATATATATATATATACACATATATATATATATATATAATAAGATTTAAGTGTGGCCCTCAACTCTTAACATTTTATAACTATTTACTAAATTGTCAAAATGACTCTTTGTCGCGAACAGCACGTGCTGAGCTCATTTACACCCTTAGTTGGAATCACTCCTAATACTAAATGCATTATTTACTGGATGCTCACTGAAAGAAGTATGCTCCTCATTTAGATTACATAAAACATATAGATTAGTTGAACATTAGAATCTTCTAAACCTTGGAAGCATCCATTAATGCATACTCTACATTGGCATTTTTTTTCTATTGTGTTTTTGAGTTGACTCTTGAATTATAAAAAGCTTTTTAACTCATCTTTTATATTTAGGATTTCATTTATATGTGGTTGTCTTAATCTTGTCCATTTTTATAAAAATAGAAGTTAAAATTAGACAATTATTGGAAGAGCAATTAGAAAAATGCAATGACTATAGCTATCGCTAACATGACACGACTAGAAAGTTATATTATTAGTTTAAAGTTTGTACATGTCATATTGGTGTCACTTGCAAAACATTGAATTAATTTTAATAAAACTGTGTTCATGTGTCATTTTCATTACAGGAATTTAGCTTTTTTTTTTTAGCGGTCACAATCTGTCAGTTATGACAATCTGTCAGTTATGATAAAAAGAATCGTCATTTTTAATAAGACCAACGGTTTAGTGACGGTTTTAAACTTATAAGTAATACACTTGTAGGTAATTTCAAAACATACTGATATTCTGGCAGTATAAATGTATCAATAGATATCTGATAATTTGATATCGTAGATTCTTTAAGAAAATTTGGGTTGATCGATATCTAGCCTGAAAGAGTGCTCTCCGTCGATCGTCCTGAAGGTTGATTACTATCTTGCGAGAGCTTCTCTTGGCGTTTTCCACCGATCATTTGAATAAAGCGCTTCTCTTGTGAATATTCAGTCAAACATGATCATCAAAGACTATGGATTATTCATGCTGACACATTTTTATATGTACGTTATAAATCCAGGACTTTTTTTATTCTTCTTTCAACCTCTCATTCAAATATCACATTCAAAATCAAATTCTCAATTGCTTTGGCTGTAAAAGAACAAAAAAAAAAAAAAAATACTTTGGGGCTAATCTTGTAAATAAAATCTGTTGAATGTTATCTGTTTAATAATGCCAACCACAAAACACAAGGCATGAAAATTCCCACATCATTCGGAGGAAAAATTATTGCATACATACACCGCATGCAGAGATGCATGCGGTGTCCGATCTTGACTGTAGATCACGGTGATCTATAGTTATGATGTATTTCGGTGGGCCCTACTTAAAATTTTTTTTTTTCAAAAAAATTTTGATTGCATCCACCGTTATCTACTGTCAAGATCGGACAGTATGCAATAATTTTTCCATTTGCAGAGAAAAAATTGCGTATATAGCATTAGGGAGTTCTGTTATTCAGAGGGTATTTAGGGTTATATCCATATTATATCTCATATAATATCTTTGTAAGTTACATGTAACCTACAAATATATGAAAATAGAAATATGAAACTTACTAGAAGATACATATAAGTTATAAGTAGATTACCGAGAAATTAGATTAATTGTAACGCGGATATAACTCTCAATTCTTCATTCCGCAAACCTATACGCTCTCCTTCTCCTTCCCGTACGCGGCGGAATGAAAATCAACGAAGAGCAAAAGCAGAGACGCATTAAAAACAGCATTAAACAGCCAACCCTTCAACCCCTCGCACCCGCCGCCGCTAAAATGCATCCACAGAAACCCAACCGAAACCAGAAAGCTGAAAACAAACTGCGCGATCTGAAGCCTCGTCACCGCCCGCTTCCACCGCCTCCCCCACCGCCACCCAATGCTGGCCGACAAGTAATAACCGTACATTGCTACGTGTACTCCGGCGTTGGTGATGAGCCCCACAGGGAGCAGAGACTGAGCTGTGGAGAGCCAGATGTAGCACATGAGGACGACGACCGCATGGTGGTAGACGTGGAGAAAGGAGAGGCGTTTGCCGCCGGCGAGGAGGATGAGGGCGGTGTCGACGAATTCGTAGATTTTGGAGAGGTAGAAAACATGGGCCCAGAAGAAAACGGGGCCGGAGGGGGAGGTGGAGGGAGGAAAGCAGAGGAGCCATGAAAAGGAGGGCATTTGGGTGAAGGAGGAGAGAGAGCAGCCGAGGGCCATGGAGGCAGAGAGGAGGAGGAGGATGATGTTGTGGAAAGTGGAGAGGAGGCGGAGGAAGGAGGGAGAGAGGGAAGGGAGAGGGAGAAGGCGCAGGTGGAGGAGGAGGGTGAGGGAGAGGTAGGAGAAGATGGTGGTGAAGAGGAAGGTGAGGGAGGAGGCGAAGGTTTTGTTGGGGATCCATTCAAAGGAGGAGACTGCAGTCGGTTCCACTAGATATCGCCGGAGAAGATGGATTGGGAGGGAGAAAGATGACATTTTTGATTTTTTTTGTTGTGGTGGATTCTGGTCAGTTTGGAAATGGGGGAGGAGAGGATTGGGTGTCTATCGGACGATTTTATGGAGCTTGGTTCGGTTACCGGTGGTGAGGAAGTGAGTTTTTCTCGGCCCTTTTTATTATTATTATTTTATTATTTTGACATAAGTGATAATACTCACCGGCAGGGCTCTCAAAACGGCTCGTTGTTCGCGAACAGCTCGTGTTCTGCTTGTTAAGAAGCTCGTGTTCGGCTCGTTAATTTTGTTCGATAAGTTAACGAGCCGAACACGAACTAAGATGTGTTCGTT